ACCCCTCAGGCACTGCCAAGGGACGCAGGTTCTTGGAGCACTAGCACCAGAGCCCGCTGCTCCGTCTCCAAAGCTGATCCGACCGCCCATGGAAGCGGCAAGCTCTCTGCTCTCCTGCAGACTAGACAATCTGTGCCTCCTTCCCACCCTAGATGCACGCTCTGAACTGACCCTCTTCTGCCAGAGGATCCCGCAGTGCCCAGCTGACCGTCGGCACAGGCCTGTGCACATCACTGGTGTTCACAGGCTCCCTTGCTCTGAGGGAGCTTGGCTTACTTGTCCCATTCTGGCCTACGCTAGACAAGCCATGCCAGCATCCTCTCGAGGGCAAGGTCACTTCCCAGTTCAGCATCCCACAGTGTTTCTGGAGCAATGAGGGGGATGGCTGATGGCAGCTGCAGAACCTTAAACCCGCACTGATGCTGGTTTCAGGCTCAGGGCCAGCCGTTGTCCCACATTCAAAGGGACATAATCAAGACTGTGGAGCGTAAAAATTGTGTTGGAATCAAAAAGTACCCTTCCCTGGGCTCCCCAAAGGAGCTAAACATCCTCGATACATTCCGATTTCACTGGATCCATCTTAAGGTTTGGCTAAAAAGATACTGGTTCTATTCAGAAGCAGCAAACTAGAAGGGCTTGATTTACTTCCAGCATCTCTCCAGAGTCTCTCACCCATGACTAGTTCAAGTCCAAATTAAACAGCTTCTGGTTTATAGTCCCTCCTTTCACTGCAGACCTGGGCCAGACTGGAGTCAGGGAGGCCGCAGCAGCTCCCGCTCCAGTGCAGGCCTGACCACTGCCAGGCCAAACACAGGAGATGGACAACTGGCCCCACGGAGCTCAAGCTCTCCTGGGGCAGCAGAGCCGAGGAATCCACCCAAATCCCAGATGCTTCGTCCCTGGCCCCACACGCAACCGAGGCCAGCAGTGACTCAGTGGTACTTACTCCTGACGGGCAGCCTCCCGTCCAGGGAGATCCCTTCGAGCTGCAGTAAGAGACCTAGCATCCCCTTCTGTCCCTTCTCCAGGAAGTCCTTTCCACTGGGGCGAATGCGAGGGGCTGGCTGGACCTGGCGGGCACTGCCCAAAGCCAGGGATGGGTTGGGAACTCGGTCCAGGGGGTCAGAGGTAAAATCCAGTTTCTGAGCATTCCCTTCCAGCCTCCCTCGAGCTAGAGAGAAAGACAGAGGAGGAGATTATCAAGAAAAGATCTTACACGACCGTTTTCTTCACCCACAGCCTACAAACAGCGCCAAAGACGCCTTCTCCACCTCCTCCTCATGCTTGCCCATCTTCCAACCAGCTGTACAGACCACCTTTAGGATCACCATCCGTGAGGCCAAAGTGAGAAGCACCACGGTGAGTGGAGACTGCTGAGGATGCCAGGGAATAAGGACGTCAGACGGGCGAGCTGCCTCATGCCGAAGCACAAAACAGCACACCCATAACAAGCAGCAGGGACTCACCTGAGAAGGGGCGCTTGTAATAGTTTTGGAAGAGCTTAGGGTCTGGAGGAATGGGTCCAGAAATCCTGGATGGCCCTTCACACATCCTGCTGCCGCTCTGTCTCCGTCACAGAAACCAGACACCACTGAGAACAGAAAAGAACAGGGCTCACTGAGCCACTGAAAAGCTACATTTTACATATATATATAGGTCAACTTCTGACCTATGAGAGCTCACACACAGCTACAGAGATGACCATCACCCCAAACTGGGCTCCATGTAGGCGAGACAAGGGATCAAGCAGCACTGTCCCTGCTGTGGGGCCAATCAGCGTTTTTACCAGCATTGAACCTGAAATTCCCATGGTCACTGTAATACCGGTATCTTTGGTACAGAAAATCCTTCCTGGCTTTGCTCTGCCAGACGGGAACAGTTAATACAGACATGGAAGCAAGAGCTGAGCTGCTATAACCCCCCTGGGTGCCTTTAGTGTATAGGAAATATGAAGTAGCTGGACGTCAGCTGACACGTTTTAGCCTTAGATTTGAATTATCTTGCACCCTGAGCTCTTTCTAAATGGCTCCTGCGGTTCAAGCACAACCTGCCCAAAGCAAGCTGAAGCCCCTGGCCCACACAGGAAAACCCCTCTGCTGTATCCTCCAGAGAGCCACACCAGTGCCGTCACCACCCGTGAGCAGGCTGGGGTTCAACCCCAAAAGGACCCGAGACAAAACACTCCAGGACCACGTAGGGGAGACGCTGAATTTCTGGGGAAGAGCCCTGAGACGAAAAGAGCCTCCTGTCCCTCGGCTCTCTGTGAGAATGGAGTGAAAACATCATAGAAAAACATATTTTTCATTTCTAAATCAATGCAGGTCAACAGGGACCAGCACAGACCCACAAATCCCAGCCCTGGCCCACTCTGGTCCCTGCTGCCTCTCCTCCCCATGACAGGAGGAGCTCGTGATGCTCACCAAGAACTCATGAACAGCCTTTTATTGCCTACAATAAACTTGAGGAACTCGCTCCCTGCTCATAAAATGAGGATGCAGGATGCTGCGCCAACGGGCACGGGCTCCTGGTGACGCTACAAGAGCCTTGACACCCCACCGGAGTCACGCCATGATTCCAACAGGCACCAGGGCAGCTCGGCCGGAGTCATCACTGGGGCTACAACCTGCATGCCCCGACTCCCGAGGAAGTAAAGATTTCTGAGACCACTCTACGGGAAGAATCCCTTCCAGGATCCTCGGCATGCCAGCACTGACTGGACGCAGCATCTGCAGTTTAATTTACAAACCTATAAACGATCGGTGCGAGGCTGAGTGAGTCTGAGTCATAGCAGCTAATGCACTGCGGTCTCCCTTGCTAAATCGCCCCTGTTGACAGGAGACCCATTAGCAAAAAGCTGTTATTCATTTCCCAGACACAACTGCAGGGGCACTGCAAGCAGTGCTGACGGCTGCACACCAGCATGCACGTGCAGTCTGCGCCCAGCTACACTGGAAAAGCTCTTTCTGAAGAGCAGACACAGGCCCAGCCTGAGATAAAAGGACGCTGTCTTGGTACTATTTAATCTCCTTGATAATTGATCCTACTCAGCCAGAACAGGCTCTCTTATTCCAGAAAAACAACAGTGTTCACCATGAGAACACTCCAGAAGAGCTCCTGGCCCTGAAATTCACTTCTGAACTCGCGTTCAAACCTGGTAATTTGCACGCAAAACGAGAGGCTGAAATCAAGCCCTGTAACAGAGCAGGCAATTAGTGCGGGGGATTGAAGGGGGAAAGGCAAGTTGACGGGAGGCGGGGGACGGAAGGCTCATTTGATACCTTCACACAAGTCACATCTCACATCCCAACAGCACCCTGCCCCGCTGCAGGGAATTTGCAAATGACACCCACTCCCTGCTTTGCAAGTCACATCGCCTCTGGATTGGGATCTTGTCAGATCAGACAACCCTAGTGCAGCAGTAAGCATCTTGGCTACCTGGGCAGCCAGGCGAGCTCGCCTGCGTGGGACTGCATCACTCTCAGCCCTGAGAAGCAGCAGCCACTTACCAGAGAGCGGTACAGACAAGCTGCTGCTCTGCTCCTGCCCACCGCCAGTGTACGCGAGGGGACATGAGTGACAGAGCCTCGTGGCTCACTCCTGCCAAACGGGGATGTGTGGACCTTCTCTGCTGCCACTCCCATCCTTCTGCTTCATCCCTTGGGACACCTCTGTTGTGCCAAGGGCCCTGTGCTGAGCCGATCCAACTCACCACCCTGCATGAAGCAAGGCGCTTCCTTCGCAGGGAAGTTTTCCGACAGTTTACCTTTCCCTTCCCACGCTGGAGGGAAGGGATG